TTCTTAAATTAAAAACTGCATACGGAAGTTTTGTTCAATATAAAGTTTCAAGTCTATATCTCAAAAACATTTGGAGGTATGGTCCTTACAAACTAATCATAGTGAATACAAAGGGCAATAACTCCAAAACTGGAGAGTTGTTATTCTTGTTTGTGGTATATCTATCCTCCAGTGAAGTTTCAGATAAATTGATCAATTATAACACATTGTCCAATGATTAACGCAAAAACTGAACAAAAGACAATTACTTCAAAGAGCTACAATTCTTGTGTTTTCTAGAGCATTCCTCCTTTGTATCCACAGTTGGTATCTGAAATATTTGCTCCAGCTATGCCGTGCCAAGATGTCCTACCATGTGCTTCCTTACGTCACAATGTGGTTAATACCTTTTTCCATACTGGTCACAAACACAAATACTTTCTGCAAAACAAAACGTAATTATATTTTTTTAAATGTATAATTAATTTGTTTCTTATTTCAACGACTCTATTTAACGAGGAATTGTTTCGACACAACCTTTTTTTCCTTATTCTTAGGCCGATAACTGATCCTCTAAGAAGACATATTTTCGAGACAGTTATGATACAATGTGTCACAATTTAGTGATCTAAATATTAATATCGTATTTTAAAAATGCTGTTTCATTGAATTCTAACTGATAATATGAATATATGAACTTGAATATAAAGATAATTTGAAAAAAAGAATAAATTCTTAACACAGCAATGTGCTTTCAAAATATGTGTATATTTAGGTCCGAGTGGGAGCATCTCTGAAGATGAGTCCGAGTGGGAGCATTTTCCATTTTTATAAAAAGAATTAAGAAAAACTGATTTCTGAATGGAAATATTTAAAACTTATATAGAAAAATTGATAAACATGACTCGGTTTATGTTCCGGTACGTTAAAAATAATTTTCAAGAAGGTTTTCAACCTTATTTCATATATGTTTCGGGAAAAGTCCGAGTGGGAGCATTCAGAGAAAAACACTTATCCCGTTTTCAGGCTTAAACCAAGCAATAAATCTGAATTTTTTTTTTTACAATTATCTCAAGTACTATAGCCATTCTTTGGTGCGCTGCATGATTTTTTAATACTCTTACGTTTTCTTATAATAAAATTGTATTTTACCTTCGAATCGACGAAAAAATGGTCCAAGTGGGAGCATTCAGCAGGTGCGCGATGACGTAGTATCCTACCATTGTATATATATATGCAGAAGATTTGTTAGTATTATTAACTACTTAAACAGGTTTACAGAAATGTATGAAAAAGTTATAGAATTATATTGTGAGAGTAATGGACTGAAAGTAAATATTGAGAGAAAACTAATGCCATAACGTTCTGCAAAAGTGGTACATGACTACATGTCGATAATAAAGGCCTATCGAAAGAGAAATATTTTTAAAGAGGTGTTGAAATTAAATATTTGCAGCTTAAAATTATGTTGATATTAAATTTTCATCTGCAACTTCAGTCATTGTCAACAGAATCCGATAAAAGAATTTTAAAAGGCTAGCTTTAAGAAAAGTATGATGTTTGGTCAGTGGGCTTGCAGATTCTATCATTCATCTTTTCGACCTCACAATAAAGCAAATTCTTCTATATGGTTGTGAGATTTGGGGTAAAGCTAATAGCAATAGTTCATTTGTAAAAAATAAACCAGATTACACATTGTTACAGTGATTTGACAATATACATTGTGATAGGTTTCAAATAGAATTTCTAAAAGTAAATATTCTTGGAGTTCATGTATAAAAACGCTTCTATAATGAGGCAGTAGTATAAAATTTATATTCAGGTTGCAGAACATTTGGTCGCTGTCCAAACTTTTAATCTAAATAAGTTTAATATAATTTAGGCCCCACTAGCATCACTTACACCGACACAGGACAGGTAGTATATTTGTTTACTTTATATATGCGTTTAATTAATGTATAACTTAATGCCGTGATTTTTATTTAAATCATGGTTCGCTTGATTTTTGGTTTGCTCCATCTTTTAAATGTTTTTTTTTGTTCAACAAGCTAGATAAAAAACATCCACCTGACACTCTTAGACCTTTATTTTTCTTATGTTTTTCTTCTTCAAGTTTTAAACATTCATATGATTATATCATTATAACAAGGTATATATACTATAATAATTTTAACAAAGACATTAGTCATTATTCATGACTGTTCAGAAGGCATATTATTGTTGTTGCTTTTTTCTTTTCCAGTAAATGGATGTAATATTCTCTCTAGCCATCTTTGTTTCTTAGTTCTGTATAAGTAATAGATATATATCCAAATATCAACTTTTGTTTAATGTCTTTTATAATGACTAAGAATTTTATATGATTATAATATGTACTTGAATTTGTAACAAGGTCTCAGAACATGTTAAATTATCTATATATTCAGAAAAAGTTATATTGAATATTCATTTGAACTTAGACTTAGACTGTAACAATTTCAGAAAATGGTTTGTTTACAGGAAAATTAATGTTCATTTTTGATTATACCAGCTCAAAAATAAACCATTTCTATATTTATTTATGGTAAAATAGAGAATAGCTCAAATATTAACTATAAATTATAAAGAAGTTTCTGAAAATGTCTAATAGTTTGTTTATATGCATTTAGAAAATACTATAATTATGTAATGTCCTTGTGAACTGATATGAATTTATATACTATTGTATGTCTTTGTGAATTTCAAGATAATTATGTTATAATGTTTGTATGTGAAATCAGAAAATAAAGTTACAAATTAAAAAAAAAAATAAAGTACGTATTATCAACGTAGACGTGTCAGATGTTCGTGAAGTTAGCCAGACAGCCGGAACAAATTTTCGTTAAGTCCGGCTGTTCATGACGTAGTTTCAAATTACTTATCACCTCGATATCTGTCTCTTCAGGCAAGCATCAAGACTTCCCCAGATGAAAAGTAATCAGACATGAGCGTGTCTGTCTCTGGATGTTACTGTAGTTGATGTATATACAGAAACATTTTTTTATTTTTTTGTGGGAAATGAAGGTAATTGAATTAAAAGCATATACCAAATATTAAAACATGTTTCAAATGAAAAATGCTACATTTTACATGATATTGAGAGATAGGTTGGTTGTTGTGTGGGTGAGGGGGCCCGCGGGTAGTGACCAATCAACGCGCCGAACACATATGGTCTAGAGTAGATACCATTTATTACACTCATTTCAGATCATAGTTTAAACAAATATATAAATTTTCAAACAAATAAAGTTCTAAACAAAGATAATTATGGAAATGCAAGATCTTTACTTATAAATATAATCGCATAAATTATGATCTTTGTGTTGATGACAGACATATTTTTAAGTTTGAATTAAATCATCTAAGAAATATAGTTGCAAAAAAGAAAGAAAATGAGCTTATTCTGGAATTATTGGCACAAGAGTGTATGATACTTGAATAAAGTTTAAGACATAAAGAAGTAAAAGTATGGCATTTTTTAGAAAACAATTCTAAGTTCCATGGGGATTATTTGCAAATGTTCATGCTAGAATTATGAATCTAGGCACACATAATGGGTGTTTACAAAAGAAATATATTTGAAGTTTGAAGTAGATGTCTTAAGAAATAAAGAAGTAATAGTAAAAAATAACATTTTTTTAAAGGAAAACTCTATGTTCATTCGGTGATAATTCTGGAAATATTGATGCTATAGTCACATATTATCAATTATAAATTTTATAATCTGGTTGATGATAACACATATATATTTGAAGTTTGAGGTACTTTCTTTACGAAAGAAAGACGTTAGGATAAAAAGAATAATTCTTGGTAAAAGGGGAGGTAATTATGAAAATATTGTTTCAAGTGTTATGGACCTTGTCAAATTTGATGTGGTTGATGATAAGGAACATATAATTTGAAAATGATATCTTAAGAAATTGTAGTAAAAATATTTTACCGCACAAAATCTGAAATCTGGACGTGTACGCCAACGCCTCGTTGAGCAATATAATTTCTTTCGTTTTAGCAGACGAAATAGAAAGAAATTATTTTCCCTTCAATCGTGTAAAGTCTCCGATAGGGTTCGCGATTAGCGCACGAAGTTTTCGTGCATAACAGTAGTCAAGTTATATGTCAGTTCAGCTTTGGGTACTGACCATTCTAAACGTCGATTATTTTTGTATGATGGAAAATGACAGCATGGCTTGTCTTCACCGCGCGAAACTTCACGGGTTGAAATCCAACCTCAACGTGTTCTTGACGAATAACAAACTCAGCGGGAAGAAGTTCAATCATTGTTCAAAACAAGAACTTCAGGGCAACACCTTCAACGTGGCTTCAGAAGTCAAGAAGTTGAGATCAGAACAAGACCTCGCCTGGAAATTCCAGGGTAACAAGATTCAATTTATTTTCAATTCAATTGGGGGCTGGGACACGGTCAGATCATACGAGGCAAACCCAATCGCAAGCGACTCAGAAGATGATGCCAAAATCAACAAGGCAGAAAATCGTGCGCTTAAACAAAAAAGGTCGAGTTTTAGGGGCGGCAAGTCTTACGATAATCATCCTGGCACATCTGGCTACTATCACGGCAAACATGGGGAGCAATTCAAGATTTATTAGACCGTGATCTTATAGAAAAATGTTCAGCTCCACCGTTTATTGTTAACCCATTAACAGTGTCTGAAAATTCTAATAAGAATAAAGAATTAAACGATTGATTTTAGATACAAGCATATTTGGAAACAGTCGGTCAAATTTGAGTATAGCGACCCAAGTGCTTTCCGCAATTAAATATGAATTTATGAAATGATAATTGTGTTTGGTTGTTTTCTCTTAGTTAAGGAAACGAAGTTTAAGGTTTAAGGAAAAATCAGCTCTTAATAAAACGCTGATAGCGCTTTCAGTGCTTTGATTGTACTCGTATTATGCAGTCGCAACTTTTCGGTCATTGGGCGATTAGAATGGTGTTCCGAATTTATAACGCGGAAGTTGACAAAATAGGCTAAACATACATGTAATTTAAATTTATCCAGCTGCCAACAATTAACATTTCACTTTAACAGTTTAAGTTTCTTTTTGTTTACAGCAAGGTATGTATGTTTTCCATGCTAAAGTGACACTTTGCTCACTTTTTTCGTTGTAAAGTTGAGTTGAATAAGTTATTTGAAAATAATTATCATAAATTATTCAGTTATTATGTCCACTTTAGTGTAGTCTCAATTTTTCGACGGCAAGACAGACCGATTTTATAATCTGATATTTCATAGATGTAAGGGCGACCATCGTACATATAAAGAAAGACCTAAAGCGCACAATTTGTTGGGCTAACTTTACTGTAGACCGGGAGCTAGTTTGTACCGGGAATGTCCAGATATTACAAACCATACTTATATAAAAAATTTCTTGTGTATGCAAGTGTTTTTCACATTAATTTTATACAAAATATAGCATTTTTTGAAGAAAATTCAAAGTTTTAATAACCCTATTCACATTAGCTTAAGGTCTTCAGCGTACTGTACCCGTTTATATATATGACATGACGTGAACTGATGAAAAACAAAAATGTTAAAAAGCGGCTTATAAAGTTTTGGAAGCCAGAACTATATTCACATAAATGTGTTTTACATATAAAAACGATTTCGAGATGTTTCGGCCCCAAGACATATCGACCCCAAATTACCCCAAGACATTTTGGCCCTTTACCAAATCGGCCCCAGAATAAGTGTAGTTGTGTTTTAAACGGGGTATATTAAAATTTCATAGTTATAACAATCATAAATGACAATTTTCATGAAGTGGAATGCCACTTTCCAAGTACCTTGAAAGGGAAAAGAGTCAACTCGGCCCTATACCAACTCGGCATGGGTCAACTCGGCACGGGTCAACTCGGCCCACTTTACAAAAATATATATAACATATTAACTTTGCTTTGCATGTTGTTAAGGTAAATGAATAATTAGAAATATCTCATTATTATATAATTATACATTGTGCTTCTTCTGAAATAAAGTATATTAAAAAAAAAGTTATTTATCTGTCTTGCAGATTTTATAAAATTAATAAAGATTCTAATAAAATGTGTTTCCTTAGATGCATTTTGTTTGTAAAGTAATATTAAAAGAAATATGAAACAAAAACGTGTTTACTTAATATCATAAGCTTCTAATTAAATCTTCCGTATAAGCATTGATTGCTGCTGAAATTCATTTACACATGTCACATGTTTTTTTTCTTCTATCAAATAGAAAGACCTTGTCTGTGCATTATCTAGTTAAAGTAATAAAGAACAGAACAGAAGTTAAATATGTAGAAATACAGTGAGATACGCAATGGATTATCTTTACTCGCAATTCTACTGATAAGAAAAGCTTGTCTGCTGCTAGTTCGAAACTGTCAATTCGTGTATTATAAATAATTACAATAATTAGAATAAATAGTGTAAACACAAACCTAAATATTAATAATGGAAAAGTGGGCCGATTTGACCCGTGCCGAGTTGGAATTGGGCCGAGTACGTTTTAGGGCCGAGCTGACCCGGATTCCCTTGAAAGATTTACAGTACCTCTTATATATTTAACGTAAAAGCAAAACCATCAACAATTAGATACTTGTTGCATTTAATGTTAACTTCAATGTTTATAAATATCTCACAATAAATAGCTACTCGTAATTATTTCATTGAAAAATCTAACACATTTAATTATCAGGTAAGGAAAGTTAGTTGTTCATGCACGTGAAAATCAAAACATTCGGTCATGTAATTTTACAATGAAAAGAAAACAGAAGCCATAATATCTATAATTCTTTTGTCACTGTCAACATTGTTTGATTAAACTAATTAATAAATATAAAGCAGGTACATGGCATTTATAATTTGGTTTCAGTCTTTCAATCACTTTTATAACATCTAGCATCTATCATTATCTAATAACAATAATAATTAAAAATATTATCAGGAGATTATAGCAAACCGTTTTTTTTAATTTTTTGAAATTTTCTCTGATATTACTTACATAAAGCTATAAACAGTTAATTAGTTACACCTTGAAAAAAATACGTAGGCCTATAGTTTAATTAAGATAAAATAATAATGTTTTCTAAGGAATAATTGTAATTAACTTTCTTAATCAAGAAGTTTTAGTGGTTTGTTTTATAAATTAAGGATTAACCTGCCTTTATTGTTTGTTACACCTTTAAAAACATTAACGTATATATCTAAATGGTTCAAGAGATCAAAACATAATAAATAATTATTTAAAGAATTAAAGTGTCATAATTGTTTAATTGTAATTAAATTAATTGTTGTTAATTAATTTAATTAATTGTCTGTACTATATAGTAGGGCCGAAACGTCTGGCGGAAAAGGGCCTAAAAGTCCAGGGGCCGATTTTTCCACTGGGGCCGATTTGGTTTGGGGCCTAAACGTCCTGTTTGCATAAAAACCAGTAACATTGCTAACGATTTGGACCCAACATGATATTTTGAATGTGTTTGCAAATGCTTATCAAATTGTTACCCTTTAACTGTGTGATAACTAATAAATATTGAATAGAACTTTAGTATCATTATCAGTAATTGACCATTTACATAATTTTTTTACTTTTTATTGATTGCTTAAAAGTCATTCCTGGTATTAAGTATTTAAAAACAAAGATTGCAACCACTCATATGAGTTTATTTACAGAACTATCTTTTTGATGTATAGTTACAATTTCTTTTTGATGATTGTTATTTCATCAAAAAATGGTACCTTCTACAGAAAATAACTATTTTATCCTAGATTTTTTCTGTATTATAATTATGATGGTTGGCCAAATAAGGCTTACACTCTCGGTAGATAGTACAACCAGGATAAATAGAATCTAAGTATTTTCATTGTGTGTCCAACTTAAAGCAATTTGTATGTAAGACATCAAGATTTGTTTTGAACGGTCGATGTAACTAAACGGTTGGACGGTAGGACAAAACAGAAAGTTAAATGGGTCAAAACGTTTGTACACATAATCTGGGACTTATGTCCCAGGCATAATTATTTAGGCTAGCCAATAATGGACAAATTATCATAAACATAAATTATAAACCATTGTTATTATACAATGTTGTTATATCAGACCTATTTTAAGCTCACCTGTCACAAAGTGACAGGGTGAGCTTTTGTGATCGCGTTTTGTCCGGCGTCTGTCCGTCCGTCGTCTTAAGCCAATTTCATCCAAACTTCACAGGAATGTTCCTTTGGTGGTCACCTTTAAAAATTGTTCAAAGAATTTAATTCCATGCAGTACTCTGGTTGCCATGGCAACAGAAAGAAAGAACTTTAAATATCTTCTTTTAAAGAACCAAAAGAGCTACAGCTAAGATATTTAGCATGAATCATGTTGTATTGGGTGTCTACCAAGTTTGTTCAAATAAAAGCCCTGGGGTCAAAATTGGCCCCGCCCTGGGGGTCATTGATTTTCCCTATATGCATATAGTAAAAAAACTTAAAAAAATCTTCTTTTAAAGAACTCAAAGAGCTATGGCTAAGATATTTAGCATCAAACATGCTCTAATAGGTGTCTACCAAGTTTGTTCAAATAAAAGCCCTGGGGTCAAAATTGGCCCCGCCCGGGGGTCATTGATTTTCCCTATATGCATATAGTAAAAACTTTAAAAAATTTCTTTTAAAGAACCCAAAGAGCTAGAGCTAAGATATTTAGCATGAAACATGTTCTAATGGGTGTCTACCAAGTTTGTTCAAATAAAAGCCCTGGGGTCAAAATTGGCCCCGCCCCGGGGGTCATTGATTTTCCCTATATGCATGTAGTAAAGACTTAAAAAATCTTATTTTAAAGAACTCAAAGAGCTATGGCTAAGATATTTAGCATCAAACATGTTCTAATAGGTGTCTACCAAGTTTGTTCAAATAAAAGCCCTGGGGTCAAAATTGGCCCCGCCCCAGGGGGTCATTGATTTTCCCTATATGCATATTGTAAAAACTTAAAAAATCTTCTTTTAAAGAACCAAAAGAGTTAGAGCTAAGATATTTAGCATGAAACATGTTCTAATAAGTGTCTACCAAGTTTGTTCAAATAAAAGCCCTGGGGTCAAAATTGGCCCCGCCCCATGGGGTCATTGATTTTCCCTATATGCATATAGTAAAAACTTTAAAAATCTTCTTTTAAAGAACTCAAAGAGCTATGGCTAAGATATTGAGCATCAAACATGTTCTAATAGGTGTCTACTAAGTTTGTTCAAATAAAAGCCCTTGGGTCAAAATTGGCCCCACCCCAGGGGGTCATTGATTTTCCCTATATGCATATTGTAAAAACTTAAAAAATCTTCTTTTAAAGAACCAAAAGAGTTAAAGCTAAGATATTTAGCATGAAACATGTTCTAATAAGTGTCTACCAAGTTTGTTCAAATAAAAGCCCTGGGGTCAAAATTGGCCCCGCCCCATGGGGTCATTGATTTTCCCTATATGCATATAGTAAAAAAACTTAAAAATCTTCTTTTAAAGAACTCAAAGAGCTATGGCTAAGATATTTAGCATCAAACATGTTCTAATAGGTGTCTATCAAGTTTGTTCAAATAAAAGCCCTGGGGTCAAAATTGGCCCCGCCCCGGGGGATCATTGATTTTCACTATATGCATATAGTAAAAACTTAAAAAATCTTCTTTTAAAGAACTTAAAGAGCTATGGCTAAGATATTTAGCATCAAACATGTTTTCATAGGTGTCTACCAAGTTTGTTCAAATAAAAGCCCTGGGGTCAAAATTGGCACTGCCCCCGGGGTCATTGATTTTCCTTATATGTGTATAGCAAAAACTTAAAAAATCTTCTTTGGAAAAACCCAAATAGCTAGAGTTAAGATATTAAGCATGAAACATCTTTTAGTGAATGTCTACAAAGTTTGTTCAAATAAAAGACCTGGGGTCAAAATTGGCCCCGCCCCGGGGGTCATTGATTTTCTTTATATGTGTATAGCAAAAACTTAAAAATCTTCTTTGAAAAAACCCAAATAGCTAGAGTTTAGATATTAAGCATGAAACATCTTCTAGTAAGTGTTTACAAAGTTTGTTCAAATAAAAGCCCTGGGGTCAAAACTGGCCCAGCCCCAGGGGTGTCATTGTTTTTAACTATATGTGTATAGTAAAAACTTAAAAAAAATCTTCTTTTAAAAAGCCCAATGAGCTAGAGCTTAGATGTTTAGCATGAAACATCTTCTTATGGGTGTCTACCGAGTTTGTGCAAATAAAAGCCCTTGGGTTAAATTGGCCCTGCAACGTTGGGGGGGGGGGGGGCCTTTTTACAGGTGAGTGACCACAGGGCCATCATGGCCCTCTTGTTTATTTATAATTGTTGAAGAGACCATTTTCCCAGAGGTAAATAGATGTAATTCAGGAGTTAGACATGTTAGAGGATAAACTCAATGCTGATATCTATTACCCGATACCATTACCCCCAACGCATTCACATGCAATGGCATGCTTGTATGCATGATATTTAGATCAAAATTCTGATAATTAAACAGATTTTCGTCGCACTGCCTACTTATCTGTACACAGGTGGTGTAAGTGGATAACCCTTTAACAGCCTCACATGTAAGTAATTTTGCGCGGACGGAATCCCCCAAAGTTAACAAAGTCACGTTTTGACAACACACAGGTGAAAGTGATTTAAAATGAAAATTTTTATACCTACTGCCAAGTTGTCTCATTTATGCATCTGCTTGATTGAAGAATGTAAGAAAAATACGGTACTGCTTCTGTACGGGAACTGCTCGCATGCCAGTATAGCTGGTAAATGAGGCCAGGTATTGCACTCAACGCCCAAATTTTCAATGTCAACATTCTTGAAATAGACATTAAAATATTACTGTTTAAATAAATTTAATAACTTAATTAAATATAGAAGAGACATAGTTTACATTTATTGTTGTTATAAAAATGTGACTGATAGATTAACAACCAATGAACAAAGAAAAAAATCTGAATTAAGCATTTTTTGGGGTGTTCGGGTGAGGGGGTTGTCCGGTTTTGGTGGTCTCCAACCCTTTAATGATATTTTTTAAAGTTTTGTCCTGATTACTCCTGTTATACTACTATAATTCATTTGAATGAAACTTTACAGGATTGATAGGTGCCTCAAGTACTGTTGCATATTTAACTGGTTTTTCCAGTTTCTAATTTCTAGGATATTAAACACAGGGGATTTTTATTGATAGGTGAGAATATATTACATTTGTTGATTTTTTTCCTTCTTTCTCTATGTAAAGTTTTCCAAATAATAGGGGGAATTCTCAAAAATATGAGTGAATCCCCCCATCCCCACTCCTAGAATAGACACTGTTTTCCAGCTGAATGATTTTTTTTTGAAGTATGGCCCTTGAATAAAAATAAAAAGCATTTTGGCATGTTTCTTAAATGATTTTTGCATCTCCTGTTACACAGTAGCTGCAACATGCAATTGGCTGTCATAAGAGGACACATGTGATCTTGTTGTATATGGCATATGTATGAAGTTGTATTGGTCAGTTAAATTCTTTCTTATAAATTTATTCAACAATGTTGTCCCAGATTTATTCAACAATGGTAATATGTTTTTAAAGTATTGTTTTATAGAATGTCTTATTTTGAAAATGGCAGTAAATGTTTCATGTAATTTCAATTGTTTCTATAATTACAGACTGTGGCTTAACTAGGAATAGAGGAAGAAACACCTTAAATCATGAATACAGTTTCATATGAAGATTTTGTGGGAGACACATATCCCCTAAAAAAAGGTATTTTAGTGACAATTTTTTCGAAAATTTCTCCTCATGTTGAGGGACCTGCTCCTAAAGGAATTAAGGGAGAAAGGAAACTTCAAACAACAACACAGAATGATATTGATGCTGAGTATTTAGTGAAACTTTTCAAAGAAGTTCATCATCAAGAAACCGCAGAAGTTAAAATTTACAATCACCAAACTAAAGATGATGTGACAAAGTACATACAAGAGTTAGACAGCTCACAGGGATCCTCTGACTATGATGTTTTCATATTTGTTTTTCTCACGTATATGTCAAAACCAACCAAAAACACTAAATATAGGGATGAAAGAATTCACCTCAAAGGTGGAATGTATTCTATGGAGGATTTTTACAATGTTGCAAAAAAGTCGGCAGTTATGAGAATGAAACCAAAGATATTTCTGGTTCAATCCGATGATCTCAGCTTATGTATTGAGAAGGAAATTGTTGCAGGCCCGGAATTGGTAATTGAAAAGAAAATTCCACAGGATGCGGATAGGCTGATAATAATGTCAGACATTCCACAGAAGCTTGCCAATCCTGATAAAAATTCAGAAGAAAAGCATCCATCGTTCATGATTAAAGCATTTGGGGAGACACTGATGGAGAATAGCAAGCTTGCACCAGAAAAAAGGCTTGATTTGTTGTCTCTGACGCCGTTGATGAATCAGAAAGTGAAAAACAAAATTGATGAAATCAAAAGAGAAGATTTAAGTGTGCCTCTCGTAACATCTACTCTCACAAAATTGATCAGAATTTAAATGATGAATATTTTCATTTGAATTTAAATTCAAATGGTCGTGAACTTTGCTTCTTTTTAAAGGGCTGATTTCAACATACATTACAGAGTTGCAGCCCCTGAAAGGACAGAAATAGATGTAAAAATATATGAATACATGTGTAAAAAGTTGTAAAATCATTAATAGACTCTTAATCCAAAAGTGCACATTTGTTATTTGACAAGAAACAATTTTTATTGTGTGATTCAAACATGTCATTGGGACCAATAATTACCTAGCTATGAGGGTCACTTATTTTATGAAGACTTACGTAACTTGTGTTTTTAAAAAGCTTCTGTTCAGAAAATATAAGGCTTAGAGGCTTGACATTCAATATGTATTGTAATCAAGTAATTTACATTTTTCCTCAAATAGTTACACTGGGGCCGAAATCGGCCATGTAGAAATTGCCCATGTCGAGGAATCAGTCATGTAGCTCTATTATAATGTAGAAAGTCTTGATGAAAAGAACACATAAAAGGACTTAAGCTTTCAAGCTTAACAGTCATTATATTTGAGATATCAGATACATGAATATGTAAATAAACTTAACCCTTAATAAAATATTATCCTGACCTATGACCTTCAAATTTTGATCACATTTATGTTTTTTTTGCTCACCTGAGCACAAAGTGTTCAAAGATGCACTTTTGTGATAACAGTTTGTTTGTTATTCTTTGTCTGTCATTACCCATAATTTCTTTAAATAACTAATCATCCTTAACCATTTGATGGATTTTGATTAAACTTCACAAGGATCCTTTACAAAAGTTATATAAATGGATCCATACCGCCTCCGTGGTCGAGGGGTTAGAGTCGATGACTTCTAATTCAGGTACCTCTCTGGCGTGGGTTCGATCCCTGGGAGATGCTTTGGTAGTTTAGCACGGAGGAAGATAGTCTAGTGCTGGTGTAACTCTCCAGGAATGATGGTTAGGAAACCACCCGCCTATATGACTGAAATACTGTTGGGAAAAGGTGTAAAATGAAACAAACAAACAAACAAATTTTCCAGTCCGCTTCCTGGAACCAACCAGTACTGTGTCATATGTGAACCGATAAGGCCTCGAACCCATGATCTCTGGGTTGAGAGGCAGACACCTTAACCACTAGGCCACCACTCCACTTTTAAACAAACAATATAAATGGATCCAGTCTGATGCACAAGTAGGTCACAGGAGCTAAAAATAAACTTTAATGATGAAAAATCTAAGAAAGTACAACTCACAGAGATTAGATATTTAGCATGTAGTATCAGCTTGTGGTCCTCTTCTAATTAAAGTTATATAAATCCTTTCCCCTGGGTCAAAATTGATCCTGCCCCAGGGTAATTTACTTTATATAGACTACTATAGGACAATACATGTAAGTTTTCTAAGTATTTTTGTAAAACTGCAATGCCCAGAGCTTAGATATTTGGCATTAAACATTGCCCAGTGGACCTCAACAAAAGCTATAGTACTCCCCGCGGGTACCGTGTCCTTGCCCATTCCGATGTAATCAGAAAATTTGTTTCTTTACATATTGAATGCCACCAAATACAATGTACTGTTTCCACCATTAAAGTGAAAGTGGAAGTGCTGCTTTTTGTGAAGTTGGAGAAATTGTTAAAAAAAATTTTCATTTCAAATAAATTCTGTCATTGGTAGGAAAATCCAAAGCTGCCAGTGTGTTAAAAATACTTCTGCACTTCCTAATTTTTGAGTTATTTCCCTTTGTTAATTTTCATACTTTATTTTTGTCCGGGCCATTTCTACTAATGTATAAAAGCTATGGACTTGAAACTTCATAGGATGATAGATCTCATTAAGAAGAAGTGCAGTGCACAAGAACAAGTACTCTGCATTTCTTATTTTTTGAGTTATTGCCCTTTGTTAATTTTCATACTTTATTTTTGTCCGGGCCATTTCTCCGAAAGTATAAAAGCTTTGGACTTGAAACTTCATAGGATGATAGATCTCATTAAGAAGTAGTGCAGTGCCCAAGAACTAGTACTCTGAATTTCTTATTTTTTGAGTTCTGGCCCTTTGTTAATTTTCATACTTTATTTTTGTCCAGGTCATTTCTCCTCGAGTATGAAAGCTATACACATGAAACTTCATAGGATGATAGATCTCATTAAAAATAATTGCAGTGTACAAGGACCGGTACTCTGCATTTCTTATTTTTGAGTTTTCACCCTTTATATATTTTCATACTTTATTTTTGACCAGGCTATTTCTCATAAATTATAAAAGACATGGACTTGAAACTTCATAAAATGATAGATCTTATTGATAATAAGTGGTGCAGTGCATAGAAACTGCCGCTCTGCACTTATTATTTTTTGAGTTATTGACCTTTGTTAGTTTTCGTATTTCATTTTTGTCCTGAACATTTCTCCGAAACTATATTGTTCGCAAGGCGACACATCCGACTCGCGGAGTTCTAGTTATAGTATTATAGCAATTTGAACTTGTAACGGGAGACTTTTCAATGAAAACAGCCATTTTTCACAAAATGCTCATGAAGTAATGGGTTAACAGTTTGTAAAAATGATTATTAGAGACAAAAATATCTTCAAGCTGGTCTGCATCCTGTAGGGTACTTCATTGTCATGTGATATTCATATAATAATCACTTCATTGGCTAAACTAAACAGTAGAATTTCAGAAATACTTGAAGGGGTTGAGATAAGGTTCTTTCTTTTAAGAGGCCGTGTCAATTTTATAAATGAGGGTTGTGCTTTTCAAGTAGGAAAAAGAACTTTTTAAATTGTTGAATTTCAGTCAAACTTTACAAAAATGTTACATAAAGTTTAAAGTGTACATTTGTAAAGAATTTTGATAAAGATTTATTCTTATTTATACTAAAAGACCTCTTGAATGCTTAGAGGTTTGAGAACTGGTTTGCCCACGATAGATCATATTAGTGTTTGCAGACGACAGTAACACTACTGTATGTATTTACAAGGGGGCATAATCTGCTGATAGACGATAGGCCTACTTTAAGTATGGGGTGTGAAAATAAATATTCATTCATAGATCTTATCACAGACTAATCCAACTAATTAGACTTGTCAAAGAGACATCCAGATAATTTTGGACGGGCGATGTCCTTTTCCACTGAAAAAAAATAGAAGAGGGAGTTTTCACAGTGTTTTACCTTGTAGTGGCAATTTAATACTTTTAATCTACCATCAGGATAAATGAGCAGTAAAAGTCACCAGGATAAGTTTTAAGAGATGTCTGCAACCAGAGACGTTAAAATATATGTCTCTACTTCAACTGTTTGAAAATAGGTGAAAAAAGCTGTGAGTAAAATGGGTCAAACTGTTCACACCTAACTAATAAAAAGGCTATGAGTATGAGCATAACAGATCACCTGTTATCCCTTGCACTGCTTTGTTAAAGTGAGAAAAGATTAATTCATCAATACTTGAATAAATTATATAAAACTTAAAAAAAAAGTAAAAAAAAATCATTTATGTAAACAATATTAAGATTTTAATCATGTTTTCTAAAAATGAGCTAGATATTGGATAGTCCTTCATTGAAAGACATCGCATTTTCTTTTTTTACAGTTTGACGTTTATCGGAAAATGCGAATTTGACCCTTGTAAAAAAAAGCTTCAAATCCCCGGTTACGTCTAAATATTTGGACCAGATATTGGGTTGGCGAATATTGGCAAAAGACTGGTGCTAAGTAACTTCTCCTTATAAATCTCAAGGGACTCTAGACATTTCTCAGAAGAATAATGTCATCTACTGTCTCCATAGTAAAATGTCAGAATTTGTGACTGATCATTTTGGGCACAATTATGACCTTTTGTTTTTTTATCACACTTGATATAGAGGAATAAATTCCCTATTACATCACTCAGGAGTTTTCATACAAACTTTTACAGAACTGAAATCAAGTGCCCAGGTAAATCTTGTCAGAGAAGTAGGATGAAGTAGGGTTATACTCAGAGCCCTTACACATACATGTATTGTCAGAGTTGTATGATTTGATCATTTTTAGCATAATTATGGCCCTTTGTTGTCAGTTGTTTTATCATATAAGAGAAATGCTCTGTTATGTGTCACTACTATTACATTGACCAACTTGGACATCAGAACTGTTCATCAAATGTTCTTCGTTTTAAAATAGATTTGAAAAGCTGAAAATATGATTTTTTAACAATTTCCTGTAACATGTTTATGAGGAAGAGTGGAGGGGGGGGGGGAGGTATATAATTGTATTTAGCATTTTAGGCTATTATTAGATTATTGGTAAGATTTCAAGAAAAACAGATATAAATGAGATACTGATATTGATTTTTTTCAGATACTAAGATGGCCCTGAAGGGTGTAAAGGTTATAGTCAGCTGGCAGGCCTAGCTCCTGCCCCATTCTGTGGAATGAGATCTTGTCAGATTTTGGTGCCAATGTTACCAGGATTGATAGGGTACTTGTATTGTCAGTTCAAATAATTAATGGGTATTTTAAATAAACATACATCTCCAACCCTTACACTGCTAAATTTGGAATGGACTTGTCCATCTTTCAGTCTGGACAAAACCAGATCAATTTGGACAAAACCATTCATTACTTATAATTTAGGGAAATTTTCAAAAGTACATAAATAGCAAATAGTGCACACCATGATCAGATGGCACAGGTGTGGGTAGATTCAGTTCTGGCCAGCAGAGTAAAGGTTAAATAAACATTCATACAATTCTTTAAAGGTAACGTCAGTCATATTATATTGAAAAGGTGATTTTTAAGTTAAAGATCAAGACCAATATGGCACACCTTACCTTGATTCATATTGATTATCAGTTTGAGCTATTTTTATCATTAAGTTCATGTATAATCTTTATAATAAACATATGGCCAATATTTTATTTATTTATTTTTTTTTGCTGTTTCAGTAACTAATTAGAAATGTGTAACTTGTGCATTCACTAAAACATTGCTTTGAGTTACTTTATTTTCAGTGAAAGAGGGTAAAAAATGAAGTTTATAATTGATTTTAACAGTTTTTTATTTACAAATTTGACAAATGATGTTTCAAGTTTTTATGTGTATTTATTGTACATTTGTATGATCTTGAATTTATGATTTGTTTTCCATTTTAACCAGACTCCACAAAAAGGTTCAAGTACTGTATACAGTTTGGATACAATGTCTAGAGGGAAGAAGTCTGTTTCTGTAGACTTAAAACAGCCTGAAGGAGTCAATTTAGTGAGAAAACTGTGCTCCAGGGCTGATGTTGTTATTGAACCATCTAGAAAAGGTAACGTTTAAATGGACCAGTCATTTGTTACATTGGCCATGGCACCTTTGGAATAGTGGGCTTTGGCTTAATCATGAGTCCTATTAGATATAAACTTCAGTTGTTTGAATAAAAAGTTATATTGAACTAATTCATCAAATGCGCTCATGTACATTTAGTATCTCATTGTGTACCAGACAAGCTTCTGGCTGACAATTCTCAGCTTATCTACGCTAGACTGACTGGTTTTGGACAGAAGGGACCACTCTCTATGAAGGCAGGCCATGATATTAATTATATAGCTATATCAGGTATGTTGAAATACAGTTTAATAACTAAACTTCATACGCAATAATAGTCAATAATCGGGTATATTTGGTTTAAACATATTTATTTAAGCTTGATTATGAAACAAGTTCTTGCAACTTATATTAATCACTTTTGAGTCCTACCGCCTCCATGGTTGAGGGGTTATAGTTGTTGACTTCTAATCCAGTTACCTCTCTGGCGTGGGTTCAATCCCTGGGAGATGCTTTGGTAGTTTAGCACGGAGGAAGATAGTCTAGTGCTGGTGTAACTCTCCAGGAATGATGGTTAGGAAACCACCCGCCTATATGACTGAAATACTGTTGGGAAAAGGTGTAAAATGAAACAAACAAACAAACAAATTTTCCAGTCCGCTTCCTGGAACCAACCAGTACTGTGTCATATGTGAACCGATGAGGGCTCGAACCCATGATCTCTGGGTTGAGAGGCAGACACCTTAACCACTAGGCCACCACTCCACTTTTACAATTAGGTATATCTTACATGACCATGTCTATTCATATAAACCTCTACTTATTTTACATTACAAGTATATACAACTGTAAAGTAATGTAATTTCTTTCAGCATTGCCATTACTGGATTTTACTTTTAAGCAAAACTGATACAGTATTTGTTTCTATTTGGCTGTATCAGAAAATATAAGCAGTGAATGTTGCTGAATATTTAATACTTTAATATTATTTATAAATCCATCAATGTTTGCAAGCTCAAACCTCTTACCTTTACCCCTAAAGGAGTGCTGTCACAGCTTGGCAGGAAACACGAGAACCCATACCCACCAATCAACCTGCTGGCGGACTTTGCCGGTGGAGGACTGATGTGTGCACTGGGTATGGCCATGGCATTGTATGAAAGAACAAATTCAGGTGAAGGTCAGGTCATAGATGCTAATATGGTGAACGACTCAGCTTATATGTGTTAGTACATTTTTATTAGCATTATGATGTAATGTAACAGAACGATTTTATTAACCAGTTTGCCTGGCCACATTATTTGTGGATTTTAGAAAGTGAATATTGGTATACTCATTTTTGGAAGGATTTTGACCTTTGCTTTATAGAGGAATACATTTCTGTGTGCCATTCAACTTATCTTTCTTAAAGGATCTTAATAAGCTCTTTTATGCAGACTTTTGACATCAAGTTTTTTTTATATTGTTTGGGTTGTGTGATTTGATAACTTTGGCTGACTTAAGGCCCTTTATTATTTTGTTACTGTTGTTATTTTTAACACATAGATGTTTCAAACAGAAGGATACTCTTTTGTGCTCACGTTCATGGCATTACTATGTATTAATCAACATAACTTATGGTTTTAAAATGATAAAAAAAATCATTATTGCACCCAAGTGTGTACATTATATACATGTTTATAAATTCAATTCTAATATGGTTTCCAATATATTTATTGTATAAGAATTCTTCCTTTTGTGCCTGAAATATAATTTATGGAGGGGCACCTGAGTTCTTCTTCCACCAATAAAGCTTGAAAGTCGCAATTTGATCTTTTCCGCATTGGTGCGATTTAAAATCCAACCAACAAACAAAGAATAAGAATTCTAACATGAACTATAGCAGGGTGAGCTTTTGTGATCGCTTTTCGTCCGGCGTCCTTCCGTCCGTCCGTAAACTTTTACTTTAAATGACATCTCCTCATAAACCACTAAGCCAATTTCATTCAAACTTCACAGGAATGTTCCTTTGGTGGTCACCTTTAAAAATTGTTCAAAGAATTTAATTCCATGCAGAACTCTGGTTGCCATGGCAACCGAAAGAAAAAACTTTAAATATCTTCTTTTAAAAAACCATAAGAGCTAGAGCTTAGATATTTGGCATGAAACATCTTCTAGTGAGTGTCTACCAAGTTTGTTCAAATAAAAGCCCTGGGGTCAAAATTGGCCCTGCCCCGGGGGGTCATTGATTTTCCCTATATGCATATAGTAAAAACTTAAAAAATCTTCTTTTAAAGAACCCAAAGAGCTAGAGCTAAGATATTTAGCATGAAATATGTTCTAATGGGTGTCTACCAAGTTTGTTCAAATAAAAGCCCTGGGGTCAAAATTGGCCCCGCCCGGGGGGTCATTGATTTCCTATATGCATATAGTAAAAACTTAAAAAATCTTCTTTTAAAGAACTCAAAGAGCTATGGCTAAGGTATTGAGCATCAAACATGTTCTAATAGGTGTCTACCAAGCTGTTCAAATAAAAGCCCTGGGGTCAAAATTGGCACCGCCCCGGGGGTCATTGATTTTCCCTATATGCATATAGTAAAAACTTTAAAATCTTCTTTTAAAGAACCAAAAGAGTTAGAGCTAAGATATTTAGCATCAAACATGTTCTAATAAGTGTCTACCAAGTTTGTTCAAATAAAAGCCCTGGGGTCAAAATTGGCCCCGCCCCGGGGGGTCATTGATTTTCCCTATATGCATATAGTAAAAACTTAAAAATCTTCTTTTAAAGAACTCAAAGAGCTATGGCTAAGATATTTAGCATCAAACATGTTCTAATAGGTGTTTACCAACTTTGTTCAAATAAAAGCCCTGGGGTCAAAATTGGCACCGCCCCGGGGGTCATTGATTTTCCTTATATGTGTATAGCAAAAACTTAAAAAATCTTCTTTGAAAAAACACAAATAGCTAGAGTTAAGATATTAAGCATGAAACATCTTTTAGTGAGTGTCTACAAAGTTTGTTCAAATAAAAGACCTGGGGTCAAAATTGGCCCGGCCCCCGGGGTGTCATTATTTTTAACTTTATGTGTATAGTAAAAACTTTAAAAAAAATCTTCTTTTAAAAAGCCCAATGAGCTAGAGCTTAGATGTTTAGCATGAAACATCTTCTTATAAGTGTCTACCAAGTTTGTGCAAATAAAAGCCCTTGGGTTAAATTGGCCCTGCAACATTGGGGGGGGGGGGGCTATATACACGTGAGCGACCTCAGGGCCATTATGGCCCTCTTGTTTATTTAGTAAATTATTTATATACAATGTATATAGATCTACATGTATTTGAGTTTAGCAATGTAATTTGTGTCCATGTATTATCGCATGATGCCCCGAATTGTCTTTCTGATGGTATTCAGCTGTTATATGCCTGTATCATGTTTTATTGGTAATAATGTACAGTGAGATATCTCACTGTACGCGCACCTCTTTATCAAGTGATGCGCACCTCTTTATCAAGTGATTAAACAGTTATAGTTTACCAAACTTGACTGTTATGTGGAAATTTCATGACCTGTGGCTGCATCTCAGTTTGTTTTTTCTCTATAGAAAATGTTCTCGGCCACTGTTATCAGCATGCTGAATTTTATTGTTGTTGTTACGATATTTCAAGCATGTAATAGTGATTTTTGAAAATGAACAATGGCAGTTCCAACCACATACATGTATTTATAAATAAATAAAGTTTGTCTGTCAGTAAATGGGATGCCTTCTACAGAAATGAAGAATATACATGCTTATTTCACATTTTAAAAGAATACAGTGGTCTCAGCAATTCTTTTTAGAAGATGTACAGTGTAACCCCTCTACAGAGTTAGAGGTGCAACGATTCATCGATGCATCGATACATCGCGATCTGCCCTGTCCTCGATGAATGCATCGTAATGAATTTATAAATTCCAATATATCAGGATGCAATACATATTTCACCACCCGATGCATCGATATAGCGGGAAAGTATCGCAATACACTAATAGTTATGGTATAATGAAAAATACCTTTAATCCTTAAGTAAAAATTAAAAATCCTTGAGTAATAAGTAATGTAAATTGTTGAAAGCTCAAAACTTGAATAAAAGTTATTATAAAAAGTTGAAGGGTTTATTGTTTTGTTATTGTAATAGTTTTATATTACATTCGTAATTATGCTGTGAACAAATGACCAAGTTTTTTATATAGATAAAGTCTGAAAGTCAGTATTGTGATACATATTGCATCGAAACATAAGAATCGCAATAAGCATCGCATTTTATCAAAGTCTGCAATACATATCGTGAATCGCATCGTTTGGAAATGCAAGTATCGTGATATGTATCGTGACAGAAAAAAATGGCAATGCACAGCCCTATACAGAGTGGTCCTCTGAAGAGCAATTATCTCTGTACAACAACAGTTTCAGTTGTACCCAAATCTCACAATATATTAAACTTGGCTCACCAACAACCATAGTTAATATCTTCTCACATTGTTTTAAACTTTACTCAACAACAAACATTATTATCATCTCACAATATATTAAATTTCACTCACCTACAACCAACATAATTGTGTCCTGAAGGGTGTTGCTTTTGCAAAGGTTGTACTGTATGTTAATAATAATTTGCTGTCAAATAGTAAAATACAGATGAATATTTGAAAATGTAATTTTTTTGTATTAAATCACTGAGGAATGTATTTACAATTTTCCCAGGTTTAGGATTGTCTGAAGATGAGATGCCACAGTTTACAGAGTCCGCCATAATGGAGGAAAGATTCAAAGAAATTTTCCTGACAAAAACACGAGATGAATGGACACAAGTTTTTGAAAATTTAGATGCATGCTATGCCCCTATACTCGAGATGGACGAGGCTCAGGCACATGACCATAATAAAGAGACTGAAATATTTCTGACAAATGCCCAAGGAAAAACTGAACCTGCACCGGCGCCGAAATTATCCCGAACACCTGGTGTTCGAACACTTGAGAACCGACCTTTGGTTGGAGAACACACAGAGTCTGTGTTAACAGAGAACGGTATAAGTAAACAGGACTTGGAACATTTGTTAAAAGCAGGCGTTGTGTTTCAAAATGCAAATTCTGCTTCAAAACTGTGATAATATCAGAGATTATAACACTGCAAGTTTGTAACTTGTAACTTTGATTTTCATTAGGTAATTGTGATATTTTAATCTACAAAACATGGCTTTTGTAAAAGTATGAATAAATTTTGCATTTTTTTTCCCCATACTGTGCTGTGAAAAAAAACATATTATAATATATTTTGACAGGTTATATAACTTATTTGTTTGCTACATATAATTACAACATTTTGGCTATGGTCATGCAAGCATTTTTTCACTGGCCCATATAACCCATAATGAATT